AAAAAAAAAAAAAAATAAACTTTTTTCAAGATTATTGAAAGAAAAGACTTTTTTTAGACAACGGTTATATTGATGTCTTTATTATTGGTTAACAATAAATTTATTTATTTGTTAACCAAACAATTCTGTCAACGAACACTTTACTACACAATTTTATTCATCTATCTTTGGTTTTTTGTGGAAAAAAAACATAAAGAACAAATCCTTTTTTGATTTATCAAAAATATTTTACTGTATTAATAATATACTGTCAACAGTAATCAGTAAGTTAAAAAAAAAAAAGAAAAATTCTTCAACAGAAATTGCATTTTGATAGATATAAAAGTTAACTTTACTGCAGTTGTAAAATTTTTATGAGATTATTGTAAAACAGATTTTTTTTTTTGCCAATGTACAGTAAAGTATTGGGGGTTTTTTTTTTTTGCAATACCAATAAATAGCTGTTTTAAGAATTGAAACCAAATTTTGCTATCAATTAAATTGATTAAAATAATTTAACAACACTATACAATTTGAAATTTACATTTGTCGGTTTATTGTATATGTAAAATTTTCAACACTGTACAATATGTTGCAAAAAGTTTGAAAAAAAAAAACGTCGGATAACTTAAACAACAAAGTTTTGAAACTGTTTAACGTTTTGATAAAACTTTTAGTCAAATAAATAAATTGATTTTTTTGAAACGAAAAAATTTCATCTTTCAAAATTTTTTTTTAGTAAATTTAATAGCATTTTAATAAAGGTATGTATTGTTGAAGAAAGAAGAAGCTGTTTTAATGAGTAGCAAAAAAAAAAAAAGAAGAAGATTAGTGGAACTTTCCTTTTGTACTACAATTCTCCGGTGTAGTTGTTTTCTGAAAATTAGATATTCCGGTTCCGGTAAAAAAAAACAAGGAGAAGTAGTAAAATTTGTAAAACTTTATAAGCGCTAAGCACTTTTTTTTTTTTGGTGATGTTTAATCATTAGTTCAGACGAATTAACTACAGCATTTGTGAATTCACGTTGTTCCGACTTGGTGCTATATCCAATTAGTTCTGTGGATCAGAATGATCAGTATCGCTTTGACTACAGTGATGTAAGCTTTGGAAATACGCATAGCCAAGGAGCAACTGTTGCCATTACCTGCACATCCAACGGTCAACCGGCTACGGTTGAAGGATATGATCAAGTAATAA